GGTTGTTGTTGTTGGTTTGGTTGTTGTTGTTGGTTTGGTTGTTGTTGTTGGTTTGGTTGTTGTTGTTGGTTTGGTTGTTGTTGTTGGTTTGGTTGTTGTTGTTGGTTTGGTTGTTGTTGTTGGTTTGCTTGTAGTTGTTGGTTTGCTTGTAGTTGTTGGTTTGGTTGTTGTTGTTGGTTTGGTTGTTGTTGTTGGTTTGCTTGTTGTTGTTGCTTTGCTTGTTGTTGTTGGTTTGGTGGTAGTTGTATTTTTTTGGGTTGTTTTTGTTGCTGTTGTTGGTGTTGGATTACTTGTTTTTCTTGGGGTGGTTATTGCTGTGTTGGTTGTTATTGATGGGGTGTTCGTTGTTTTTAGACAATCTCCTCTGTTTGATCTTGTAATACTAATATAATCGATGCCAACTCCAGCGTTTGTGTCGATATATTCACTTTCAAAGGCTATCTGGAAAAGATAATAAATATGTAGCAATCAATATTTACTTGTTTAAAACAATGGTTGATATAGTTAGTAAATATGATATTTCAGCAGCAGCATCGCATGAAAGTTGGGCTGTGAGCGCTACCGTATTTTGTGGCCTTTCCCTAGTTCCTGAGTGTAACTACGCATTAGGCTGTGAAATGTTTATTCTCTAATCTAAAACTAAACCGTCACACAATGCATGAACATCCCACCTCCTAAAGTTACTTGTCAAAACATGCATTTAAAGACACTGTAAAAGAATCTCAATTAATACTGGCGTTTGGGAATTTTATTTTGCACTCCAATTGAACAAAGAGATTTGTTGTTTTGTTGTTCGTCCGTCCGAATCCACTAGGACAGTCGAGTCATCCGGTTAGGGGGAGTGTGGGTTACGGTGAGCTCGTAGGTGGCTTGCAAGTCGGATCCGAGCTCGGAATAATCTCAGGCACCGTGGGCAGGGGATTTTGCAGTCGGTATTTTAATGTTGCTCTTTCGGGCCAGCCTGCGTGTCTCAGCTGTGGCTATCCCACTAGCTTGATGAGATTTAGCCCCCTTCTTGACAGCTGCTCTCTACCAGGCCCTATCCTAAGTTGTCTGCCCCCATTTCAGCTTTCAGTAAGTCTTTTTAACGCTTTTTTTTACCTCCTTGGAGCGCTTGTCTATCATGAGTTCTACAAAAAATATCTGTATTTGGAACAGGTGGTCTCCCATAGGTCTATGTGTACCACTCAACGGAGTTGAGACTGCATCAGGGTAGTGAAAATACTTGTCAGTTTCGCTTAAGCGAGGACCTCTGTGTCATGAAATGTGTCTTGCCACCTGAGTTTCCTGAGGCAGGTTGTGTGAAAATGGTTCAGTTTCATGGCGTGACGTTGGTAGACTGTCCACGTTTCACATCCGTAGAGCAGTGTCGAGAGGATTGCTGCGCTATAGACCTCGATCTTTGTTTCTAGTCTGATACTTCTCCTGTCCCAAACAGTGCTGTGGAGCCTGCGAGTCTGGCATTCATTTCATCATCCATGACGACAGATCTGGAGAAGATGCTGCCCAACTAAGTAAATTTATCCACCACTTTAAGACGCTGTTCGCTGTTGATGATGTCGGGTTCAATGTAGGGCTTACTGGGAGCTGGCTGATACATCACCTCAGTCTTCTTTGTGTTGATTGTGAGGCCAAAGTCATTGCAGGCCTAAGAGAAGATATCAACGCTGTGTTGCATGACGGCTTCTGAGGGAGCGTTGAGGGCACAATCGTCCCCAAACAGAAGCTCGTTGATGGTGTTATGTTTGACCTTTGCTTTAGCTTGAAGCCTTCTAAATTTTCCTTTGTTTTTGTTATGGTGGATAATTGAGGAATCTTTGAGGTTTTGTGGTACAGTTTCCGTCTGGCTGATGATCTGGAAAGACGCAATAGCTTATCCGTCAGCACTGTTCCACCCTCTTTGTAGATTTCGGCAGGAATCATGTCGGAGCCAGCTACTTTGCCATTGGACATTTGACGGATTGCTGTCTGTATCTCATCAAAAGTTGGGACGGCGTCTATTGACTTGTTCGTTGTGACCTGGGGCAGTCTTTCAATGGCTTCATCGTTAATGATGGAAGGCGTATTGAGCACACTATCAAAGTGTTCCGCCCATCTTTCCAATATTTTCTCTTTAATGAGTCTAGAACCGGCTGCCCTAAGAAGAGGGGAAGAGCATGAGGTTGTAGCTCCATAGATTTATCTCAGGCCACTGTAGAAGTTTTTCATGTCTTTCTTGTCTGCAAACCCTTAAATATCATCAGCTTTCGCCCTCATCCAGGAGTCTTGCATCTGGCGCAGTTGCAACTGGATCTTGCTGAGGATGCTGTTGACATTTGGTCATCATGGAGGGCCTTGTACGCCCGACGTTTTTGCTCAAGTAACATTTGAATCGCTGTGTTGTTTTCGTCAAACCAATCCCTCTGTTTCCTGGTAGAGGGTCCAATTCACTCAGCGGTTGTGCTATACACCGTCTCACAAAGTCTGGTCCACGCTGTTTCCGCGTTCCGGTTGTCCAGTGTGATGGTATCAAGGCGTTCATCCAGGGTGTCCAGAAAGGTTTGTCTCACAGCAAAGATCTTGAGCTTCCTGGTGTTGAGGCGTTGCGGAGCGCTGGTGGCCTGAGGTCGTCTCCTAGGTTGGATGTGAGTTTTCATCTTTGAGACGATGAGGCGGTGATCCGTCCAGCATTAAGCGCCGCACATGGCCCTGGTCACCCTCATGTCCTGCCGGTTCCTATTTCCGACGATGACATTACATATTAGATGCCAGTGTTTTGGGGTCCAGGAGGTCCGGTTGCGCGTAGGCAGCATGAAGGTGGTGTCCGTCATTAGAGGGCCATGTTCAGCACAAGTCTTTAGTAGCAGTTGGCCGCTGCTGTTGCACTTTCCAACACCATGCTTCCCCATCACCCCCCCCCCAGGAGTTGTAGTCACTGCCAACACGTGCATTGAAATCTCCAAGAATGATGAGTTTGTCAGCAGTCGGTGTGGAGGAGATGACAGTGTTCAGGTCTTAGTAAAACGTATCTTTCGTCTCTTCTGTGTTGTTCATGGTGGGTGCATAGGCAATGACTTAAGTGGCAGCCTTCTTTCCGTAGCATAGGGGTAGTTTCAACGTCATGAGACGGTCATTGATACCTTTTGGAGAGCTGGGAGAGCTTGGTTACAAGAGAGGTTTTGATAGCTAAGCCAACACCAGCTTCTCGCCTAGCGTCAGGGTCGCGTCAGCTCCTAAAGAAAGAATAGCTAGCAAACCTTTCTGTGAGTTCATCTTTGCCAGAGAGTCTAGTTTCACCGAGGGTGGCAATGTCTATGTTGTATCTGGCAAGCTCATGGGCAATGAGCGCCATGCGACGTTGAGGTCTGTTAGAAGTGTCCCTGTCAAGCAGTGTGCGTATGTTCCATGTGGCAATTTTAAGTGAAATGGAGTTTATCTTTCATTTTCGACCACAAAAATTGGGTCCCCGCCGACCGTGTCTAGCCGACCCGGGTGTGAAGGAGCAGACAATGTTTTGGGAACCTGTTCTAGCCCCTGCCTCATGCATTTAGGAGAGCCTGCCCGTCGCCACAGGACTTGGGATGATGACTTGCGCGGTTGACTCTGTTTAAAGGGAGGAATAGATGCGTAGTGCAAACGTCGCTCTCTCATCCGAACCCACTAACAAAGAGATACAGCAATACATGCATACCAAGAGAATTATTAATTATGATATTTTTATTTACACTTTAAATTTTTGAAATAATTGTGCGTATTTACCGAAAAGCTCAAAAAAAAAAAAAAAGAGTTACCCATTCCTAAAACGGTATGTATGATAAATAGCTGTTTGTTTTATTTCAGGGTGGCACAAGAGTTAGG